TTGTGCAGTAGAATGATCTTTTGTGATGTATAACGGCTGACAATATGAATGTGTTCTCTCATTGATTGTATTAATCTGTCTACTTCTGCCAAGTCTAAATGCCGAGTAGTTTCACTCTCGGAACTCATTCAGCTAAGGCCCCCTTAGCCGCACATTTATTGAACTGTCATACTCCAGCCCTTTCAGTTTTTTGTTTAACCACTTGTTTTTTGTTTAGGCTGCAACAATGGCTCCTGTTGAAGAAGACCCTAAAAGACCCAGTTCATCAGATGATCGTAGGCAAGTGTCAGGGTCAGATTTTCCTGCTCCAGCTGGACGTGAAGTCATCTTGCGTTTCACCGTACCTAGACCAGCACCATATTCCAAAGCTCTACCCCAGCGAATGTATAGTGTTCTCACTAAGGATGATTTCAGACTGGCAGGAGCGTTCTCCTCTGACACATCCTTCTTCTAACCTTTGGATTCCCAGACACTCATTTTCATCAAAGTGTTGGAAGATCGAGCCTATTCAACATCCGATCACGCCAAAAAAAAATCTACCAAACAAGTGATAAAATATTAACCAACTCTTGTGCCCCTAGGCCAGTGACAAACACTGTCCCCATATAGTGAAAATAATTACCGGTGTTTGTCACACCAACCTCATTTTCCAGGTTCACTGGCAGACACTGAAATACTTTATTAATTATTCAATAAGCCTGACAGGGTTTCAGTCCGATAAATGTAACACAATCACCATCCGGGTAAACGCCAAAGACAGTGTGGGTTTTTCTTTCAGTAGCTTTAAAAACCGTTGCAAAAGGTATTACCCAGCCAGTTATTTGCCCCCCCCCCCCCTGTCACTATTTAATTTGGTGCCTGTCAATCTTGTTGCTTGATTTATCATTTTTAATCTACTTATTAGAATATCCAAAATAACAATGTATAACTAGTGTTCCGACTCCTCATTCTGCATAAAGAAAACTTAAACGATCTCCATACTGAGGGGTCAAAAAAATAAATTCCTGCTTTGAAGAATAATCGTATATGCCCCAGTAATTGTTTTAAGACAAATCTATTTATAAGAAGTTGTTAAAACTTCAGTAATTTTGCATTATGTTCAGATGAAATGGCACGTGCAGATTAGTTTAAATAGGCATGTAAATGTTATAGGAATCACTGCTCTGCATTTTAAAAAGTGCAAGAAGGGACAGATTGTTTTTTCTCTCCCAACTTCCTTAGAAAGTCAAAGCTGTGTTGTGATTGGCTGCCCAATTAGGACATTACTGTCTCTGTAAAGTTATTTATTTTTGAGAGTAACCGTGTGAAGATACAGAATGAGAGTAGGCACGAGCTGAGGATTTTAATGTTGAAATCTAGTTTAGAACAAGATTGTGATTTTATTTTTCCTTCGTGGAAGGGATTTGCACTTTACACCTGATTTGCTGTTACACCTGATCACAATGACTTGTCACACTTCTATCAAGTCATTTACAGTTCAACACTGAATTATTTACACATTCCCGTGAAATCCACAGAAACTCTGCAATGTTTTTACTCTGTTAATTATTCGGTTTCATTTATTATGACAAAACCTTTAAAATTGTCCACAAATACATGCAGCATATGCACGTGATGTACAACATATTGTTTAAGAACAAATTTAAAGGTAATGATACAGATTGAATGGAACATGTTTTGTTTTTTTTACTTTCAAATTAGGAATCCGTTATCCTAAGATGACACTATTAATGTAAGTAGCATTTCTATGTAAGATACTGGTTGGGAGATTTCTTGCAATCTGATAAATTGGGAGACCTTTTCTCACCCGTGGAAACTCCATACATCAAAAGTATAATTTGCAAGCCAATTATAAAATCTTACATAAACAGGCATATATGCTAAAGTGAAAATTCAAAGTGATTATTAAATTTAAGGTCAAAATAGTCAAACTGTAAAAATTCTCCAATTCTACTATGCTGTCAGTTTGGCTACTCTGGCCTCAAACTTAAAGGGACACTATAGTCACCAAAACAACTACAGCTTAATGTAGTTGTTCTGGTGAGTATAGTCAGTGTTTACTGCAAAAACCTAGCAGGAACTGTCTTATCATTTAAATGGCAGTGTTTACATTAAAACTTAGAGCCTCCTCCAGTTGTGCAGCACTGCCATTCAATGTCTCCTTGTTCTGATGAGATGCTAATTGGCTAGGGTGGTGTTTGGCTCCAACCCCACCCTGTCTCCTTGGTGATCTCAGCCCTCTGGGAAAGTATTGGATTGGCTGAGATAATTAATTCTGGTGATGTCAGCCAAAGAGGTCGATTGGGGGTCTGGGCAAGTGCCTGCAGACCCACAGAGAGTTGGAAATAAAGTAAGTTTTAACCTTTTTCTAAGGGGTGGAGGTACATCACCTCTAAGTCTCCTCCTTTGTAATTTTGGGTTTTGGAACCCCCTCTCCCCCCTCCATTTGAATTGCACTGTAAATTCCCACTTTAGTAAATAATCGTGATAGATGTCTAATATCAGACTATTCTGCACTGTCCAGAGAAGCTGTAAAATGAGGTTCTGTGTCAGCGATGCTTTATATTAAAAATGTACAACACTAAATCCAAAGATATATCTACATTGAAAAGGGGCAGCAATCCTTCTTGTCATTTAAGTGCTTCAGCCACTGGTAGTTAGAAATAAATTCTCAGACATCCTATAATAAAATTAATGATAGAATACATGTCTGTATTCCTATCACTGTAGTGCTGGAGTAAATATTTAGGTGACTGGCCAGCCGCTCTGGAGTTAAGAGGATTAACATATCTTTTCGATTGTCACACCAGTCTCGATGCAGCATGCACAGCAAAACACTACGCCAATCAGCATCTCCTCATAGAGATTCATTGAATTAATGCATCTCTATGAGGAGGTGCATTCAATGAGACGCTGAATGTTGGTGCGGTACAGTGTGCAGCACTGAGATAGGAAGCACCTCTAGTGGCTGCCACTAAAGTTGTTACTAGGCAGCAAGGGACATTAATTTGTAGTGGTTCCGGTGACTATAGTGTCCCTTTAAATCCATATACAAGTATTACACTAAAAAAATGCTACTACATTCACGTGTTTTAATAAAAAATAAAACCCTAAGTGTGCTGAAACATGCAGTAATCATTAGAGGGGGGATTTTACCAATATGATATATACATAAGTGCATTAAACACTGTAAAAATGACAATTCGTGCCTGTGAATTTCCATAAGCGGGTTCCCAAGAGTTGTGATCAGTCTCCCGTGCCCTTATTGTCACCCAGGAACTGGTTTGGATATCCCAGACAATACCTTGCTTCCCACATGTATGAAGTTGTAAGCTGGTTTATGTCTCATGAAAATAAATGGAGACGTATGTGTCTTTTCTGTTTATTTGAAATGATGAACAATACGTATGCAAATAAGTCCGTTTAATGGTTCTGCTGGGCATGCTGCGTCATTGGCTTACACTAGAATCCAGCGTTTGGAGGAATACAAGCAGATCAACGTACCTCCCCTATTTTCATGTTAAAGGACCACTATAGGCACCCAGACCACTTCAGCTTAATGAAGTGGTCTGCCGCGCATGCGCATTCAGCCGATTACGTCGCTATGGAGGAGGAGAGCTCCCCGCACGGCGCTGGAGAAAGGTAAGATTTAACCCCTTCCTCTCCCCAGAGCCTGGCGGGAGGGGGACCCTGAGGGTGGGGGCACCCTCAAGGCACTATAGTGCCAGGAAAACAAGTATGTTTTCCTGGCACTATAGTGGTCCTTTAAAGACAAGGAAATTAAATTATTGGGAGATGTTTTGGAAAAAAAAAAAAAAACACCCCCGTGGCAACATGCAAAAAATAAACCAGGATCTGATTATTTCCTCACTCACTCTCTCTGCGTCCATTTAATTTTACATCCATTCTTAGCTAGATGCCCATCTCCATGAATGCACCTAGATGATGGAATCTGGAGTGTTTAAGATCATCGGCTTTCCTGGTCTAGTTTGGTGTAAATGTAAAATACTCTTGTAACTGGCAGAAAAATATTTAGATGTAAAACTAACACCGAGCGCCTATGATATAACTATATTTGATCATTTTTGTTTCTGGTCTTTTAGTAATTGCTGCAGTTTTTTAGAGAAATGTTATCTGCTTTGTAGAAGTAAAATTGTGTTAGATATTTTATTGTATTGTACAAATGCTACAAATAAATCTTTATGGCACAGTGCTCATGGGGTTGATAAATGGTTCAAATTAGTGTCAGAGTTTATTTCACACGTTGGAATTCATATTTAAATTATTTTTTTATCATTTGAAGTAATTTTCTATTAAATGCATTAGTCATGTTTTCTCAGTATTAATTTAGGTACAGAAAGATGAAAACGATCTAATCTAGCAAGCTGTACGGGAAATATAAACACAGTGAGCTCATACATGGAAAAACTAAATGATATTTTGTTTGAAACAAAGAAGATACTCTCTCTGTTGTACACTCAATGCGGATTATAAAATAATACAGATTATTTTAAACCAGTTTATCAGGGACCTAAATTATGTACAGGACAACCCACATTTCAGGTGAACATCTGGCTCAGGGATACATTCTTCAATGTAATATGATTAACATGGGATAACATTTTACATAACTTAATTCTCTGGTCTCTATTATATCAGCACTGCCTTTCCCAATACAATAAACACTATTACTATTATTATTATTATTACTGGTATTTATATAGCACCAGCATATTCCTTAGCACTTTACAATATTATCAAAGGGGGAGCTCTAACAAATGAGACAATTACAAAAACTTACAGGAACAATAGGTTGAAGAAGGCCCTGCTCAAACAGGTTTACAGTCTATAGGAAGTGGGGTATAAAACACAACAGGACAGGAGGTAGCAATCAAACAAGGTGGAGTGAAGCAGAGCTGGAGGAGAGAATAGAGTGCTGCTCTTTAATAGAGCAAGGGATAGGTATATGAGGTAGAGGTTACTCTGGGAGGCCATAAGAGATGGGTTTTGAGGCACTTTTTAAATTATTGAAGACTAGGGGAGAGTCTGATGGGTGTAGGCAGGCTATTCCTAAGGAAAGGAGCCACCCGCAAGAAGTCCTGCAAGCGTGAGTTGGCCATATGGGTGCGAGCAGCAGACAGGAGAAGGTCATGGGAAGAGCGGAGAGACCTAGAAGGGGTATACCTGCGGATCATTGAAGCGATATAGAAGGGGCTAGAATTGGTCAATGCTTTATAGGTATGGGTTAGTACTTTGACTTCCTTTATCCTATAGGAGTCAATTCAATGTACGGACTGACAGAGGGGTGAGGAGTGGCAGGAGAGGATAATCAGTCTAACTGCAGCATTCACTACACATACACACACACACGTTAAAATGCATAATCGCGGTGCATAGGGAAATGCCAAATATATAAACAGTGATGTAAAATCTAACATGTACTCATTTAAGGCATCCACAAAGTTAGTTCATTACAATAAGGGACATGGTACTTGTGTATAGTGATGTCTACATCGGAACCTTTTGTCATCCTTTATGTTTCAACTGAGGATACACAAGGACTGTCAGGGATCCACAAAATGTTTGACTGCTTTTAAATAGCTACATAGGCTGAAAAGAGACACGTATCCATCAAGTTAAGTTTTATTCACATCGTTTTTTGCGGTTGATCCAAAAGAAGGCAAAAAACAAAACTTGTTTGAATCGCTTTCTAATTTTGTAACAAACTAGGGAAAAGAAAAACATTTTCTTGAACCTATAATGGCAGTCAGATCTCTCTTTAGATCAAGAAGTTATTGCACATTAAAATTATATATCCGAATATGTTTTTGCTTTTTAAACATCCGTACAGACTAATCACCTCTTCAGATATGAAATTCCACATCCTTCTTGTTCTTACTGTAAAATATATATATATTTTTAAACACTTTAATTTTCCTTACACTAAATCTCCTTTCTTCCAGTCTAAATGCGTGACCTCGTGTCATATGTATCGTCCTGTTTATGAACAGATTTCCAGACAATTGTTTGTCTTGCTGTCCATGAAAAGGTTAAAAATTATATATATACACATATATATATAGATATAGAGAGAGAGAGAGAGAGAGAGAGAGAGAGAGAGAGAGAGAGAAACTGACCTTGAATTATCAAGTGATTACCTAATATAATAGGTTACAGACCTATTTAAATGGTGTAAGCGAATAGTGTTTGTGAACACCTGGGAAGCAGTGGTAGCCATTGCTGCTTAAGTTGTAGCGCCAATATTTCCAACAAGAATATACCGTTTGAATTGCAGCAAAACATTAAAACTAACTAGCGGGGGGTATTTACAGAATAGGAATTTTATTGGTGAATACGTTTCGTGGCTTATCATGCCTGCATTAATAGGTGCCATTTTATGCTTTCAATACTCTTACTATAAAACAACAATTTATGAGAACATGTTATATTTTTGTCTCTTGCTGGATATCACCCCCCCCCCCAAGTTTGTAACTTCTTCTATGTTTAACCCCTTAAGGACACGACATGTGACATGTCATGATTCCCTTTTATTCCAGAAGTTTGGTCCTTAAGGGGTTAAATATCTCTAAGCCATGCACATTTCAGCTTGTATCTCTACGCCATTTTAGTAGCCCTCCTTTAAATGTACGGTCTAAAGCCGGGGTAGGCAACCTTCGGCACTCCAGATGTTGTGGACTACATCCCCCATAAGGCTCTGACACTCAATGCTGGCAAAGCATCATGGGAGGTGTAGTCCAACACATCTGGAGTGCAGAAGGTTGCCTATGCCTGGCAGCAATGTAATTTAACGGGAACAGGCATCATATTTGATGCTAGCATTAGAATCGGACATTTCCCCAGATGAACGGATGAGTAAAAATGCAGTGATCAATGTACAACGTTAGGTGGACTAATAAATGGCCCCCTGCTGTTTTTTTCCCGGAGCTAGTGACAGATATAACCTTATGGTGTGCGCTGCCATGGAAACAACTTCAGAAATATATATCTTAAAGCTTAAATTGGTGCTTTAAGTAATAATTCTCAATTTAACTCCTCTCATACCAGAGGGACCAACAATATAAACCTGTGCACACAAAAAACACACCTATTTTAAAATCAGAATGCAAAACAAACAAATATGGCATTACTCACAGCAAGTCGTTGCGATTCAAAATGTGAATTGCAAAAAGTAGGCAAAAAAATAGCCGATTTGGAAAAAGAAATAATAAATAATTTCCAGATCTGCTATAGTCACAGGGCATTTTAGTCTGAATTCTGTAATTTGGCATTCAGTGAATAAAGCCCCACAATCTGCCAGTGTGTGAATAGCTGTAAAGGATTGTGTGATTTTTCAGTCTGCATGGAGAAAACTCACACAGCCCCCGAGGAAACAAGCAGACAATAAGAAATGTTATTTTACAATTGGAATGCAATACACATGGCAACTGGGTCTCAATAAGCCAAAGCAATATTATGCCTTCAAAAAAAGAAAAGAGAAGAAAAAAAAAAAAACACATACAGTACAAACAATACTGTAAAGCAGACGTCTTAAATTCGTACTCCTCCCTGTCTGGATTGTAAGAGGTTTAGGATTTAAGAAGCAAATGTGTCATAAGCACAGGAATGCTTCTTAATGGAGTCCTGTAGTATAGAGCCTTTTTAGTGGTAAATTAACATTTTTTATTTTAAGGACCATCCAAAAAAGGCTTCTCAATTCTGCACCTCCTACCCTAAAGATTACCACCTTAATACCCATGTCTGCTGGGACAGCTGTCTGGCAGTGTTAAAAGGGACACTATAGTCACTCCGAGCACTGCAGCTCAATGTAAAACACTGCAGATTTTGTAGAAACTAATGTTTACATTGCAGTGTTAAATACACCTGTAGTGGCTGTGATAGTCAGTCACTGCAGGATTGCATGCTGGCTGCCATCACTAGTTCACAACTGGCTACCCGGTCACTGTGGGAGTCAATCACTTTGGATAGCTAAGACAATCAGATCACAGTGATCGGCTCTCACAGTTATCATTCAGCTTGTAGGCCAATCTAATAAACTGTTAATTGTTAGAGATAATTATGTTTAGTTCAGGTTAGGTATGGTTAGATATAGACAAGGTTAGAAAAAGGACCAACGACTGATACTGGTCAATGGGGTGACACATATAGTGTCTCTGGGAAGAACTCAAACATGTCAAATTTGATCCTATAAGGTCTCCAAATACTTGACAAAGGTATACACGGAAAGAATTACTGTACTGTACTTGGAAGATGCAGCTGAATACAAATCTACCGTCTTTAAAGTAGTAGTAGGACACAAACTACCGTAATTACATTCTCCACTAAAATTCAATATGTAAAAAAATTACCAGTAAAATTGGTGATGGAAGGACCAAATTAGAAGCCAAGTTGCATTATTTTACAGATTGAAATGCCATGATAGATGTAACGAGTAGTTGGGGGTTATTCTGCCCAAAACATACATGGACCCAGTACATCAATGTAACTGACATATCTGTAATTTGACCCTGTAACGTCTCAAAACTCTGCTATACACAGAGGGGTATGAGTGTACTGAGGAGCAGTAGCAGAATTACAGAGGTGAGATACAATGTTTATATTTAAAACCAAGTCACCCTTCACAATACAAACTTCCATTATAGATTTTTAAAAAGTGAAATCCAAGGTATATGAGTTTTTTTTTTTTGTTTTTTTAAATTAAAATATTTGTTAGGTTTGGTGGCAGTTTAATATAAATGTTTCAAACATATATGCAATTATAAGAACCACAATTTACGGAAAATAAAGGAAAATAAGAGGTCGCTTCTCGAAGCAGCTAAAGGGACACTGTAAGCACCCAAACCACTTCAGCTCATTGACATGATCTGGGTGCAGTGTCTCTGCCAGTTTAACCCTGCAATGTAATTATCGCAATAATTACCTTGCAGGGTTAACTCCACCTATAGTGGCTGTCACAGCAAGGGCAAGGTGGAGGAGAACACTATACTGCTAGAAATACAATTTTGAATTCCTAGATTATAGTTTTTGTTTATGTACTTGGTATATGGAGAGCAATAATCAGTAATTTAATAATGAACTGCAACATCAAGCCTCTGACTGGGCATAAAAAGAATACAACATGTTAGAGGATAATTTGCGAAGGAGATTAGTCTGGCAGACCATCATTTAGGCTGTCATCCTCCGATGAAGCTGAGGAATAGGTCTATCAGATACTGGTATTTGGGCCGGCTGCAGTGAAGCTCAGATATCCCAGGAGCTGGGGTTGGGAAAACTATCTGGAACGGGATAAGTCTACATTTAGAGCACAGTTAAAAACTGCAGGTAAATAGTTTTAAATGAAAAGAGCAATAAGGTGAAATACAACTAATATTTGTAAAACCAATAACAATTCACACACACACTGGAGAAGTTAAATTGCATGATACCCATGATAAAATGTAGAATTTTTTATGTTTCAAAATGTGTAGTTTAGTCATTAATTCCCCCAAAACAATAATGCTTGCCATGAAAGTGTTAATATGTATCTGCAAAGCAAAGCACAAAAAGTGGTAAATATATTGAAAGTTGATGAAACGGAATTCATGTCAAGTTCCGGTTCAGAAATCTCAACACCTTGTACATTGGAGTCTAAGAGCTTGAGAAGGAGCCAGCAATAGGTGATTGCTTTGCAGGGGTGTGAACTGTTGCATGCAATTTATACAGAGTGTCAGATTTAATTGGGAAGATCTACTTTAGCTTGGCAACGAACGCTGGCCCGTTTCTTTGAATTCATTATATTCTTAGCATTGAACTCATAGTTTGGGGCAGGTCACAGAGGAAATAAGGTGACAGCGGTGGTCACTTCACATCTTTTGTCTGAAACAACTGCATCCTTTATTAACCCCTTCTATAGGCTGGATGGAGTGGGGGTAAAATAGAATTTGACTATCGTTAGGATGAATTTACCTGTACCGTGACTGCTCATAATGCATTTAATAAGGTTGTTGTAATGAATTCTTGGCACATTAATTACAGCAGGAATATAATCACCATACTTCCTTTCCAATATAGGATTCAATTTTGAGAATGTTGTTTCTGGTTTTCAATTTGCTTTAAGTTTGTTTATCCTACAATCCGTGCGTTAAAAGGAAAATGTACTATTTTCACATCTATACACCTGCCCTGTTTTCCAATGTCGCATAGTTTGGTTTGTTCTTGAGAAACTCCACGAAGCACTGCTGCGATATCTTCAAAACAAATCTC